GTGTGGGTTGGGAGCTGGGGGAGTCAGGAAGGGTTAGAGTGGACAGGTAACGCTCACCTGGGGGAGTGAGGTGGGAGCTGGGGGGATCAGGAGGGGTTTAGGAGAAGTACCTGGACAGGTAATGCTCACCTAGGGGCCCCAGGAAGGGGGAGGAGCTTCCAGGGGGTGGAATTGGGGTCTGGGACCCACCTCAGAGGTTTTGAGGTGGGGGAATTTTGGGGTCCTGGCTCCCTCCAGGGCTGGAATTTGGATCTGGGACCCCTCCCGGAGCACCTGGGTGGGGGGGGGGGGCCAAAATCCAAAAAACCTGGATAGGGAAGAGAGAAGGAACTGAGGGGGGGGTCGGGGGTTCCCAGGGGATTTCGGGGGTCCCGTTCCCACCCCCCCGGGCCCCCTCCCCACGCAGATGGAGGATCTCTACGAGGATTTCCACATCGTGAAGCTGCCGCTGCTGCCCCACGAGGTGCGGGGGGGGGACAAGGTCAACACCTTCAGCTCCCTCCTGCTGGACCCCTACCAGCCCCCCAGCCCCAAATAACCCCCCCTCCCCCCACCTCGGACCTCAAACAAACCCCCCCCGACCCTGGGGGGGACCCCCATCATCCCGACCCCCCCCTCATTCCCGAGGGGGGAGGGGAGGGGGGGGCACAGCCCCTTATTTATCCCCCCCATCCCCCACACAGAGGGTGGGGGGGGGGGGGCGGTTCTCCCCCCCCTCCCTCCCCACCGCTGTCACCCCAATTTTGGGGAGGGGGAGGGGCTGGGCGGATTTGGGACCCCCTCCCGGGGTTAGGGGAGGGGTCGTGTAAATAATAAATTTGAGAAGCAAAACGCGTTTGGAAGGGGGGGTTTTATACCGGGGGGGGCGGATGGATTTGGGGGAGGGTCCGGATGGATTTGGGGGAGGGTCCGGATGGATTTGGGGGAGGGTCCGGATGGATTTGGGGGCCGTGACGTCAGCGCCGCTGGCCACCAGCCCGGGGGACGCGGGGGACCCTCATTAACACCGGATTAAAGGAGCTGGCCCGGGGCCACCGCGATGGAGACAGAGCCGCAGGGGGGCCCAAAAAAACACCCCTGACCCCAAAACAAAACCCCCCCGACCCAAAAAAACCACCGCGAACCCAAAACAAACCCCCAGACCCAATAAAACACCCCTGACCTCAAAACAAACCCCAAAACAAAACCCCCCCGACCCAAAAAACCACTCCGAACCCAAAATAAACTCTCAGACCCAATAAAACACCCCTGACCCCAAAACAAAACCCCCCCGACCCAAAAAACACCACCCCGAACCCAAAACAAACCTCCAGACCCAATAAAACACCCCTGACCCCAAAACAAACTCCCCAGACCCAAAAAAACACCTCCAGAACCCAAAACAAAGCCCAAAGTAAACTCCCCCGACCCAAAAAACCACTCCGAACCCAAACCAAACCCCCAGACCCAAAAAAACATCCATGACCCCAAAACAAACCTCAAAATAAACTCCCACGACCAAAAAAAATAAAATCTCCAAAACCCAAAATACACCCCCAGACCCAAAAAAACACCTCCAGAACCCAAAACAACCCCCCCC